GTCTGAGAGACAATCCACTATGTCATATGGGCCTTCCCATGGAGAAGACAAATTAGGAGACTTCCATTTGGTCTTCCTGGGATTATATAACCATACCTTATCTCCTGGTACAAAACTGACTTCAGTAGATCTCTTATAATAACATAGCTTCATCGAATCAGCAGACGTTTTCAAGTTTGAATGCACTTGATGGTGAATATCATCCATCCTTTCAGATAACACTTTCACGAACTCTGACACATTTTCAGGCAACTCTTCGTAAGGTGGGCATACTGTTAACAGATCCACTGGCAACCGTAGTTCCCGACCAAATATCAACTTTGCTGGCCAATTGGTGAAATAATCCATCACCACACAAATGCAGCTGTTTCCAGCACGAGTTTGGAGCAAAGGACCAGCCACGTCAATGGCCACTCTTTCCATTGGTGCACCAACTGGATATAACTTCATTGGAGCACGTCCCTTATGCTTGGGTCCTCTTTTAGCACAACATTGTGCCCAATAGTTCTTTGTCACAGGGCTTAGACTAGACACCTTCTCCCAAGTAGGACGCAAAACACATGCTTTTAAAAAATCTATTATTGGCTTCAAACCTTGGTCTTTTTCCTGCTCTGATTTAATATCTATACCTGGTTCCATTTCACCATCATCAACTCCTTCAGTCACTTTGACTTCAGCTTCATGACACCTGGTTAATTCAACCTATCTTTTAACAGTAACCAGAACTTGGCCTTTGTTGTTTCCAAACGTCATTTTATCTAGATTAATTACAAACTTCTTCGGTAGTAAGTAGTCCAATCCTAATATGCATTCGTCTTCAATGTCAGCCAAGTATACTTCGTGTCTGTCCTTTATGCCCATGAGCTCAATAGTTATCCACACTGGTCCCCACAACCTTGTAGAATGTCCTGTCACACCACAACGCTTCTGTATGGCTTCTGGTACTCCTTCGTTATCTAACACCTTGATGCTCACAAGGGTTTGCTGAGATGCAGAATCTATGACAAAGTTGCACCTTTGGCCATCCAGCTTTCGTGTCACATAGACACTGTGTGTGCTTGACATTTTACACCTAACTGTTGAAACTTTCATGATGGGGGCTGGTGAGTGTCCCTCAACAACCAACCACTACTGGTCTCCTTGAGGCTGACTTGTTGGTAATATTCTTCTTACACTGGCTCCTCATATGTCCTTGCTTTCCACAGTTCCAACAACCTTTCTGGGTAGCAGCCTTTCCTGCCATGGCATCTTCCCTGTGTTGAAGTTTCCAGCATTGAGGTCTCTTGTGCCCAGGTTTATTACAGTGCCAGCAAAGTCTCTCAAACTTCTCTGAAAGCTGACCTTTTCTGGCCTTGAATCCTGATGACTCTACCAACCTTGGTACCTCTGTGTTGGACTTAATGTAGGATTCAGAT